TGTAAAGTGCTGTGTAAATTGCCCGTGCCTCATAAATGCCTTTTATAAATTATAAAAGAGTAAAGCTCTAATGCACTTCTAATTGTTATTCTTGTTGTTAAGCCTGTTTTTTTTCTTCTTTCCACACCCATATTTATTTAGGGTGAGGGCTAAGTGTATGTATTTACACTGTCAGTCATACTGTATATCACCCGTTCATATGTCATATTGCAGTCTTTAAAAAAAAGAAGTTATCACATCTTACAAATGGATAAAAATAAACATGCCTAAACCTAATGTAACGTGCACAAGTAACAACAGTAACAACTATACATCTCTAAATAAAATCAAAGCGTTCTCTAAAATCAATAAATAGAGCCATGCAAAAAAGGGAGCTCTGGGCAGTATATTAGAAACAGCCCCCACCCCAAACACATTACTGTAAGATGTACAAAAAGAGAACCTTTCGGACCTTTCTCGATTTACAAGCAAGGCCTTGTGTGGTTTTCTCTGGCCACTCGGAATTTTAGATACTACAGAGGAAAAGAAGGGATCAAGCCGACTGCATCACTGCCTTGTGGCATAGATACAGCTATTCAGGCTACAAGCTCCAACAGCATTTGCTGGGTTCTTGACCAGTAGGGGGCAAACTTTTAAAACATGAGGCTAGTCATGTGAAGCAGGCATGGATTTGGCGGTTCCAGGGTTTTGAATGACCCACTAATCGATGGTCATATCATAGTATAATGCATAAGTCAACAGGGCAGCTGGGTGACCACCACAGAAGTCTTATTTCCTCTTCCATGCCTTTTTTCTTGGTGGGGATGAGGGGGGCAAATGGGTCCTTATAGGAAGGACTCGATGGACAGAAGCAGAAATTTATTTGGCAGGTGAAGCATATATTCTAAAATAAAGCATTCCTACGGAAGGAGACTTTGAAGAAAGTCCAAAATACCTGGATTTTTCTTAATAAAAAACAACTATTCAGATAAAAAAGGAAAAATGGTAAGGCAAAATAAAAAACAAAGAAAAGAAAAAAAAATGATGATTGGGGTTTGTGATTGACTCTTTAAGGCTGTGTTGGTCAGACTTTCTTTGCACCTCATGCTTGGAAAAAAAGCCTTTTTGGTGGCTCAAACTTCACGGTTCTATATGGAGTATTATGCACCTTAACCCGTCGCTGCCTGCTTGTTTCGCACTTTAATATAAGCGTTATGTGGATCAATATTGTATTACTTAAGTCCTCGATGCTGACAACGTTTGTTATCATGGAGTAGATTTTCCTCAATTCAAACCACTAGCATGTTGCCATCATGTACAAGATATCTATCAAGAAGTGGATTGGAGTGCACTTGATGATATGATATGTATTGGAGAAGAGGCGCTGTTAATGCTATTGGCTCTGCAGCATATTGAATATATTTGAACAAAGACTCGTCATTGTGCTGCATAGAGCAGAATATGTGCTTTGCATTGTGTTTTGGAACATGACCTCTTAATGTGATGTGCGTAATTACAATCTTGAATACATGTAATAAGGATGGTGGAAGTCAGGGACAAGTTGCCTTGTCAAGGTCACGGTACATATCATCTTCAGTGGCAATCATAACAGTAGAGATGGGTGGACAATACGCAGTAACGCGTTCACCATGTGGTGGTGGTTTGCAGTGTTATGCAAAATGTTATGTTGGTGGGTAATGTGCCTTCACTGTACACGATGTGAGTTGTAGTGCACTGCATCAAAAAAAAACAAGGGACTTAGGGACTCCTGGCAATTTTTCATGCATTAACATCAAAACAAATAGAATGCATTACAAAGAGGACCTTAACCTATGTGTTAACACGTAATGTGAACAGAGCCTTAGGGGTCTATTTCTCAATGTTTTCACCTAAGAATCATATAACCTTTACCAAGATTCACTCATTTATCAATTGGAAAAATGTGTAAATCTTGGGTAAAAGTACAAACATTTTTTTAAATAACTTTAACTTTATTTTTAATAAAAAATAAACATCAAAGGCCACACTAATTTCACAATTCCCATTAACTCCATGAAACAGAGACATTTTGAAAAATTCTTAGATCGTTTTGGCGAAATGAAGAAAAGATAAACTCACAATTTCACTCTGTCCTATTGGGGATTGGGAAGCATACTATGGGGACACCATATGCACCGGGCACCATAACCCCTAAGGCCAACCCTGTGAATGCCAGCCAAGTCATTGTAGAACAGGGCTGGGCAAATTAATATGGAATTCAAGAACCAGTCAGTCCAATCCAGGAGCCAGCTGATTTTTTTTTTATGAGCCAGCTCTAGTGATATCAGCTAGAGAAAAACCTCCAAAGTTAGGCACCAGCTGTAACTTTTAGGGAGCATCGGCTACTTGGCTCCTGGAATTTTTTTCCAGCCCTGTTGTAGAACTACAAGTTGAGGAACCCCTTCATCAATTGTGAAGGATCTTAGTTGGAGTGACTAGTTTAGCTTGTTGGAGAGGCCAATCATTATAACTGTTTTGTTGTCTATTGTACTGCTGAGTGACTTCTATAAAGACCATTTGTACTTCGTCTTGGGCACGTGCTCCTACTTGTGGTTCTACAGCACATTCCATACCTTGGTTTCCACCAAGACATTTATTTCCAGTATGGAATTGCATTGCTACTAGACAGCTGTAAACACTTCTCTTTGAAATCACTTGTCCTGTCAGACGTCACTGACTGTTTACACTGCAGATATCGGAATCCTAGGCGTGGAACTGTAAATACTCTTTCAGATCGGATGGTACTTTGGCAGCCTTTGAAACTGCGATGTTGACACCTTGAAATATGTATATACCTTCAGTATAAAAGTATCACAGCAAAAATAAAAGTTCTATTATAGTGTCATGTTCATTCCAATGGCATGGTTACAGGCATACTTAGGTGATAGCATAGGCTAAGGAGTCTCCACGTGTCATTCCTGGTATATATTGAGGCCTCTGACGCTTGGAAAATAGGAGTTTGCGTCTGCATTAAACAATTAAGGAGGAATCAAGTAGGGGAAAGAAGTATTAAAGTCAGCTTACATGTAACCATGTGCCATTAAATCAAGATCCTGAGCTGCGTTGTTTCTTGGTCACATGACCTAAACCTGACATTTGGTCACATGACCAGCAGCAGGTCTGCATTGTTGGCATCAGCATCATTAGAGTATTCATTGACTGCTGAACTCAGTCTATGGTTGCCGTGGCTTAGGTCATGTGACACCAGGATCTCCTTGTTAAGGCAGAAAGGTAAATGTATGTTCATTTTAATAACAGTCTACTCTAATGCTTTGTTGATGCTTCCCTATTTGTTCAAAGTAAACCCACATGTTACGTTAAGCTTCTCTCTATTTAATTGTGTGTGGCACTTTCCATGCAGTGCATCCTGTATAATG